CTGTCCCCTAGACTACCACTCCACTAATACAGCTCTTATCTGTCTTACTGGATCTTACTCATCCCTGCCTGTGGCAGAGGGATTGGAACTAGATGATCTTTAAGGTCCCTTCCAACTCTAACTATTCTATGATTCTATGATTTGGTTTGCTCTCTGGGCTGCAAGGGCACACTGCCGACTCATATTGCCTACTGTCACCGGCACGTCTGGATCCCTTTCTGCAGAACTGCTCTCAAGCCACTCTCTCCCAACTCATCCCCATAATAATTATGCCCTGCATTATTCCTTTGTATGTGCAGAATCTGGCATTTTGACTTGTTAAATTTCATCCCATTAATCATAGCTCAATGCTCCAATCTATCTAGATCCTTCTGCATGGACTCTTGTCTCTCAAGAAAGTCAACAGCACCTCCCAGTCTGGTATCATCAGCAAACTTGGTAACGGTGCTTTCAACTCCTGCATCCAGGTCATTGGTAAACTGGCCATAGAATTGAACCCTGAGGGGTACTGCTGGTGACTGGTCCCCAGCCAGATGTAGCCCCATTTACTGCAACCCTTTGAGTCCTGCTATCCAGCCAGTTCTTCACCTAGTGCACAGTGAGCCTGCTCATCCCACAGTTGGACGACTTGTCTAGAAGGATGCTGTGAGGGACAGTATCAAAAGCCTTACTAAAACCAGAAAAACTACCTCCACCACCTTCATCCCTTCATCCACTAGACCTTATCATAGGAGGATATCAAATTAGTTAAATAGGCCTTTCCCTTTGTGAACCCATATTGAGTGTGCCTGATGACTGCATTAGTCTTTAAATGCATTTCAGTAGTACTCAGTATAATCTTCTCCATGATTTTTCCAGGACCTGAGGTTAGACTAACAGGTCTGTAGTCTCTGGGTCTTCCCTCACACCCCTTTGGCAGATCAGAATAGTATCGGCTGCCTTCCAGTTAGCAGGGACCTCCCCAGACTCCCAAGACCTTTGGCAGACGATTGAGGGGGGTCCTGCCATAACATTTGCTAGCTTCTTCAGTACTCAAACAACCTGTATCAACAGTCTTTTTATCTCACTCTGGTTATGATCTTACCCACAGCTTAGTTAAATAGGTTCCCTTCTAACACTTTTCTAGATGGGAAAAAAATGAGACCAGATGAAAAAAATCCCTAGTCTTTGGGAGCATTTGTAGTGACAAAACCCAGACAGATCTTTAAAAAATCAGCTAGCAGCTCTGTTGCTGAAAGCTGTCATACTGCTAACTTTAAAATGCTTGGATAGTTACTATGTTACATCCCTCCTGGTTTCATTAGCTACTAATGGAACACAAAATATTTCATTGCTGCTATAAGATGTGAGTGAATCATAGTGCTTGTTTCAAAATATGATACGAAAATGACTTAAGTGTTCCATCTTGTATAGTGGATTTTAATTTGTGTATTCGTGTCCAAGCTTCACCACTAAAAGTGTTTATTTTGTTCCTGGTGTATTTAAATTATTCTTTTTGTTATTCTTACTCTCTCTTGACCAAATACTGATGCTTAGCAATTTTTTGCTTTTGCTTGTTGACCATTTTTACTCTTTGCTATCAGTTTCCTCATTTCATCTTCTGTCACTTTCCTTTTTAACCAAACTGGATATGTAATCCTCTTTTTTTAGAGTTGTAGATCTCAGGCGATTTGGCTGAAGCATTCCTAAACATCTCTTTTTAACTTCCACAATTTTCTCCCAGACAGACCGAGTTTGTGAAAGTGGTCTTTTTCAAACCTAGATTATTGATTTAGACTGCGCAGATTTGTGCAGATATGAAATTAGATCATGGTTATTTGCATCTAGGTAACCAGTTCTCATTTTTCCAGCTCAGTAAGCAATTTATTTGTACTTGCATGAATGAGCTCTAATATGAACTGCCTTTGCTGAACGATGTATGGTGCCCAACAGGTTTTTGACTGCATTGAACAAAGCAGGCGTTTGGGCCGGGGGGGGTGTACAGGAAAAGTAGCGGAACATATTTTTCCTATTTCATGTTTTAATTACACAGGGCCAGAAAGGTCAGGAAGGAGAGGATGGACCCACAGGATCTCCAGGAAAACCAGGGGTAGAAGATGTGCAGAAAAAAGATCATGGAGCTCCTGGATCTCCAGGGAAACTTGGACAATATGTTCAGCCTGTGAGTATTTTCTGTCTATTGAAAGAATGCATGTATTTTAGAAAGGGTAATTGTCATTCATCACATATGCATAAAGGGTGAAACTCCACAGCCTCACACACAGTCATCAGTTATACTTCTACAAGATAGGGTTTAGCCCCACCAAGTCAACTCAGGAGTGTCATATCTGCTTTGCACATGTGTCAATTGCTATACAAGGGCCTGATGAGAGGCAATCATCAGAAAGCACAAGGCAAACAGCTGATGTGCCAACATACTAACGTTCTTAGACCAGTAATTCCACAAACTCTTCGGGCAACCTTTACAGTGCTGCACCACCTTCCCAGCTGTTGCTTGGACACGTTCTAAGCTGCTGGGCTTCAGAAATCACATGCCTCCTTCAGTGGCTTCTGTGTAACCTGGCTGTTTCACATTTAATATCCGCCTGAACCACCAGCACAAGACATGTCCAATTAAACAGGGGTACAAAACAGATCACACTGTGACATAGTATTTGTTACAGTTCTGGTTTGTTATTTTGTCACTGCACGACACATCAAGCAGTAGTTAATTGCTTTTCTCTTTTGTTGCTTCTTGGCTACAATGTTTTATTAACCTATCTAACAAAGATGTTTTATTTTAGGGCATTACTGGTAAAAATGGGTTACCCATAAATACTCTTTTATACTTTTTTTTTTTAACTGAAGAAAAAAAACACAACATTTTTTTGTCAGAGACTCGGCTACGCTGAAGATTAAGCAGCAAAGTGCTTTCTCTGTGTCCTCTCTTTAGAAGCCAGCTCTGGTGCTCTGGTTGAATTCCTCAGGTTCCCAAGAGAGAAGGACCCAGGTTTCTAAGAGAAATTTATGATTTCCCAGTTGCAAAGAAAGTAAGAGGTATGGCATGCCATAAGCAGCTGTACAAGGAGTCCAGCTCTGGTGAGGTTGGCTTCTTTTTGCAGAGAGGAACTTAAAAAATAGGACATACTCAGACTCAGACCTCTTCCAGAGCAAAGCAAAGTGCTTCATTGACCCTTCACAGGCACATGCTGCCATGTTGCCTACTCCTAACCTCAGCTGTTACTAACTTTCCAGATGTGCCTCTCACCCCTCAACTCTTGTGCAGTAATTCAACTGCACCTTCTGCTTCTCCCTTCCTGCTTTCCTTTCTCTGCATTCCTCTATTTTACCCACTTCTGTCACATTTGCTGTCATATTCCTGTATTGTTCCTTCCTCCCTTCTGCAGGTGACTCCCGACCATAGGTCAGTTCACCATGAGCTGCTGACAGATTGCGCATGCGTACTCCGGGGTGAAGTATTGCACAGCAGCGCACACCATAACAATCCCCTAGCTGTCCTATTCCATGAGTGTCTCAGCTGCTGTTGTGTATCTGCCCTCTGTTGATGCTTTACTACCTGGTTTCTTTTCGTTACTCGTTACCTGTTGCTGCCACTTTGTGCATCTTTCCCTTCCCTAAGACCTTCCCACCCAGAGGCTGTCGTCATTACCATGCCTGCTCCTTCATTGTATACTGCCACGCGCCACTGCTGTGAGCTTCCTGTCCGTTCCTGTCCCCCTGCAAGGGAACCTCAAATTAAACCGGTATGTTTTAAGATACTAAAAAAAAATAATCCAGCAGTCATCCATGGGATGAATTATTCAACTCCTGCATGAGTGCTGCCTGCATACATTGCTGTATTCAGAGAAATGTAGCTGATTTTGAAATTTTTAGCCAAAACTCAGTTTATGTGTCATTAGGGTGTTTGTGGACGAGAGGTTTACATTTTCTGTATTAACAGAAGTCTGACTACTTTCAAGCAGAACATTTTCAAAGAAAACTGTATGAAACCAAAATAATGGGGAAATGTCTTATAGGAAATTCTTCAAATGTAATTCAAATGCTTGAAAAGCAATTTTTTTTGTCCTTGTAAACAAGCTCTTGCCAAACAAATATATTTCCTATCATAAACATTTGGCTATATCTTGTGAAATGAACTATTGTCCTGCATTTTTTGTAGATACTCTTTTGTCCTTGTGCACCTGGGTTCCAGCCTTGCATATACCTATGCAACTTTACTATTGGATTGATGTGGCTTCACTCAGCAATAAAATTAGTATGCACTAGGTTTATATATTTACATGGGCCATGTGTTTGCCACTTTTCTATAAACATGATACCAGTTACTCTACAGGAAAAATAACAAGATGAGAAAAAAACCTTTTAGTCTTACAGATACATTTTTCTCCATAAGTCGTCTATATAACCCACCTTTAAAATTAGTACTGCCCTAAAACTTGAGCAGTAGAGTCCATAATCACAGCTGTCCAGATTCCTAAAATGCCATTAGGGAAAAACAGAATGTATTTGCCTTCTGAATTTTTTTCCAGTGTCCTAACTGAGTTCATAAATAGCACCACTTTATAATAGCACTGACTTTAAGGCTGGAGGGAGTTATTTCTAGCCAATGATCAAGCCTTCTTAGAAAGAGCACGTGCGCGTTACTTGTAGATAAGATGAACATACATAGAAATGTTATTTGGGATTAATTTGACTGGTGATGTTTAGGGTGGAAAATGGGGTGAAATGCTTTGTAGTACCACATATTCCGTCAGATGTGTGTTCTCAGGAAGCATCCTACTTGGTAGGAACGGAATACATTCAGATGGATCAAGGCAAAAAGGATTTCAGTAGAAGGTGGGAAGAGGCTAATGCCAATGGTATGATTTGGTGCATTCAGGGCAGCCGTTTGCAGCAGTGTGTTACAAATGTATCTCAATATTCTCTGTTGACTATCACTTCTGTATGAAACTAAAAGTAGATTTCTTCCAAGTATCCATTTTCTCAGAGTTTGAAAGTTGTTAGTGTAGAGGCAGAATACTAGCCTGGAATTTACCTGTTGTAAGCGTATCCAGCAACTTTGGAATAAATTAAGACTTTCTTACCTCTTAGATAAGTAAATGGCTAAGAGACAGAAAACTTGAAGAGGGCTTTTCAGACAGCTGTCACTATTTGTTCTAGTGTAAAATTATAGTTTTCAAAATATTTGTCATCACTGCTGTGTCATCAGTTGGCATCCTATCAAATGCAGCCCACCAAGTGTTTCCATCCCTATCCCCCAAGCAGGTTTCACTGCCACTTTGTTGTGGGCAGAGTGGATGTGGCGAGACACACATTTTGTGCACTGCCAACTGCCTAGAGGTGTAAGTCCCATATCTCCTCCCACTGCACAAACTAAGAGAATCTAGCACCCTTACGTCCAGCCTCTGCTGCTAAGTTTACAGCCTGTAACCTGCGTAAAAGATAATGTCTAATTAAAAAAAATTATTTCCTTTTAGGGTAAAAATGGACTTCAGGGGTTGCCAGGACTGAAAGGAAAAGCAGGCCTAAAAGGTGAAAAGGTATGTGTCCTGTTAATAACCAACAATCAATCAGATACCATTTACGCTTGGACAGGTGTTAATTTGGTACACTCTGAGAGAAAAACATAGTAATAGGGAATCACAGGAAGAATTTAAACATCCTGCTGTTCACCCACGAATCTGCATGAAAGGCAGCCATAACAGAATCGTAAGGATTTTTCAAGAATATGAATAAACCTCAGCAGTAGAAAAATTTGTGCTTTCACAGAAGAGCTAAGGAAGATATATTTAACACTTAATAAGGAAAAGCCAGATGTTATATATATATAACTGCTCTGTGCACCTTACTCCACTGGCTAAGTGATTTAACAGAGGCAGTATAATCATATTACCCTTGTGAAATGAACAACATTGAAATAAGAGCTAAACCATCTGAAGTAAAAACTTGTATAGCTTCTGAACTAAAGTGAGATTAATCTGTCATTATAGCATGTTGTACACAACATTGGCCTTCAGCCATTTACTCCAAGTGCCAAATTAATAATTCATTTCATCTGTTTACCAAAACAATTCGTGCTTCATAAATCCACAAACATAACCCGTATAAAGCTCATATATTCAGATGCAATTTGAAAGGTTCCAGAATCATTTCATAGGTAAAATTAGTCTCCAGTACAGGTATCAGGTCATGAGACTGCACGGCACCCCCCCATCCCTCTGTCCAGCTAAACAGTTGTAATGGAAAGATATGTTGGGCAAAGAGTTATCATAAGCTGAAGAGAAGCGAAGGCAGTTAGGAAGCTGTCACGACCTGATCGACAGGCTACCCTGGGAAGTGTGAGAGGTCGTGTAAAGCTCGAGATCCCTTCGGAGTAAATTAAGGCAAAAGGACACTAAACGACCGATGTGCCAGTCAATTAACCCAGAGGGAGAGGGGGGAAGGGAAAATCACCCGCCATAATCTTAAAGCAGTACTCCAATTCTGTAACATTTAACTTCACAATGTAACTAGTCAAATTTTACAACATATGTACATCAGAAGGGAAATATTCAGAGAGGAAAAGGGAAAGAAGAAGAGGAAAAAAGAGAGAAATCACCACCCTTGGATCCAGCAACGTCTCACAGGTTTCGTTGGGGGTGGGGGCCCTCAAATTCGAGTCCCTCAAGCTTCATTTCTGAAACCTCTGAGCAGTCGCAGATCAGCAAAGGGTGGTTTGATGGAATTCTTGAGCCAGGAGTCTCATTCTCTCTCCACTTTGTCTCTCCATTCCTCCCCACTCTTCACCCTATCCCCAACCCTGGACTGCACTGACAGAGTTTAGCAACAGGAACCAGAAGAGTCTAGACTGCAGGGAAAAAAAATAATAAGTAAATTGCAGATTAAGGACTGTGGTATTGGTGGAGGACTTTGACAGGGTGCTACTTACATCTCCATTGGCGCTAAAACCTGCAGCATGAATCACAGAATCCCAGACCACTCTTTGGGCATAGCCATCTAGGCAGTTTTTTACCCAGCAAAGAGTACACCCATCCAAGCCATGAGCAGCCATGGCTGTGGGAAACCGTGTCAAAGGCTGTCCAGGTAAACAACATCCACAGCTTATCCCTCACCCACTAAGCAGGTCACCTTGTCCTAGAAGGAGGTCTGGTTTGTTAAGCAGGACCCGCCTTTCATGAACCCATGCTGACAGGGCCTGATCACCTGGTTGTCCTGCATGTGCCCCGTAATGACACTTAGGATGATTTGTTCCACAACCTTCCCAGGCACCAAGGTCAGATTGACAGGCCTGTAGTTCCCCAGATCCTCCTTCCGGCCCTTCTTGTGGATGGGCGTCACATTTGCCAACCTCCAGTCAACTGGGACCTCTCTGGTTAGCCGGGACTGCCAATAAATGATGGAGGGTGGTTTGGCAAGCACTTCCGCCAGCTCCCTCAGTACCGTCAGGTCGATCCCATCTGGTCCCATATACTTGCATATGTCTAGGTGCTAAAGCAGGTCACTCACTATTTCCCCATGGATTATGGGGGCTTCATTCTACTTTAACTGGACCCATGCCTTCAAAGCAAACAAGAAAACACTGCTCTGATCCTCTTTTACACATGTGAACAATTTTTAAATTATTAGTTGTCCAGAAAATTATTTCATTATCCCAATCAATGTGATTTCCTAGGACCTGTTATGTTGGTAGGGTGAGCAAAGCTTAAAGAATTGATCTGTGCACACACACAAAAAATTCAAATCAGTTATGGGCCCTAAAGACAGTCAGCACTTTTTCAGCATAATAAGATTTAAATTTGAGTAATTTGAGGAACAGCAGCAGGATCCACCTGCCTGTTTCTGGTTCTTCTAATTGAAAATGGAAAGCTGAGAATTAATGGGGTGCTAGAGATCAGTGGAGAGTGGGGAGCTGGCTCTCAGTTTTTCACTGTGGTCCTTGGTCAGTGCAGAGATATAGCCATGAGGTGCTCCTTGGCAATGCATACAATTAGGCTGACTGTGATCCAAGTGTGAGAGCTGGGGTTTTTTTCTCCCTTGCAGTACACACAAAGTGGAAGAAAACAAGCAAAAACCACTGACAGGCACTAATGTAATAATCACTGAAAAAAACGCAAAGGATATGTTAAAATGAATGAAGACTATCTGTAAATGAACATGCTGGCAGACAGTGAAAATAGCCCCAAATTAATTAAACATGTTTCTGTGAATATGACAGAAGTATCACTATAGGAACCATTTGACAAAGCCACAGGGAACAACAAAATGAATTAATATATTTATCTAATGAATTCTCAAGCATAAAGAACAAGTGACCAAAGGGCAGGTAAAATTCAGTGTTTCTCTCTATGTGACTGAATATATGAAGTTAGAGAACATAAATAAAATGCTCATAAGCGCAGATAACAAATTGTCAGGTTAGAAGGTAAAGCATAGATCAGTAGAGGCTGGCTAACAGTGTCAGTTATGTCTCTGTGACTTCTACCCGTTTAAGAAAGCTCAGTGCAACCAGTCTGGTTTCTGTCCCCCTGGTGCACAGTGGGAAGGAGGTCACGCCTTGCAGCTCTGCAGCGTCAGGATGGATGGGTAGGAATCTGTGCTACATGAAAGCATTGGTAGGGGGAAGGCTGATCTTTTCAGACCCAATGGTGAGAGAAGCTCTGGGATATATGCAATTGCACGACTCTTTCTTCCCCTCTAAATGTACATCTGTCCTGAAACCAGGATCATCACTTGGCTGCAGTGACCATGGGATGGTGGAGTTCAGAATCCTGAGTGGAAGAAGCAGGGCAAAAAGTACAATTACAACACTGGACTTCAGGAGAGCTAACTTTGACCTCTTCAAAGACCTGCTTGGAGGAATCCCATGGGCTAAGGCTCTAGAAGGAAGGGGAGTGCAAGAGAGCTGATTAATATTTAAGCACCACTTCCTCCAAGCTCAAGATTGGTGCATCCATAGGAGCAAGTAATCAGGCAAAGGGGGCAGGAAACCTGCACGGATGAGCAAGGAGCTTCTGAAAAAACTCAGATGGAAGAAGGAAGCTTACAGAATGTGCAAAAAGGGTCTGGCCACTTGGAAGTAGCATAGGAGCATTATCAGAGTATGCAGAGATGCAACAAGGAAGGCTATGGCCCCCTTGGAATTAAACATGGCAAGGGATGTCAAGGACAATAAGAAGGGCTTCTTAAAGTACATCAGTAGAAAAAGGAAGAGCAGGGAAAATGTGGGCCCGCTGCTGAATGAGGTGGGTGCCCTGGTGATGGAGGATGCAGAGAAGGTGGAGTTACTGATTGCCGCCTTTGCTTCAGTCTTTACTGCTAAGGCCGGCCCCAAGAACCCCTGGAGGTAAGAGAGAGAGCCTGGAGAAAGGAAGGCTTTCCCTTGGTTGAGGAGGATTGCATCATGCTCAGTGCTGCAGAGGAAGGCGAAAAACCATGGGGACCTTCCAAGCACAGGCTGTTTTGCACAAGCAAGAGTCCCTTGGGAAATGGAGCCAGAGAAGAAGAGCAGAGCTCCCTTGATTGAGGAGGATCAGGTTAGAGAGCATTTAGGCAAACTCAGTACCCACTGTCTTAGGAGAAAAGGCTGAGAGACCTGGGTCTGCTTAGTCTGGGGAAGAGAAGACTGAGAGGGGATCTTATCTACGCTTATAAATATCTAAAGCTTCAAGAGGATGGGGCCGGACTCTTTTCAGTGGTGCGCAGCAACAGGACAAGGGGCAATGGGCACAAACTGGAACAAAAGAAATTCCGTCTCAACATGAGGAAAAACTCCTTTATTCTGAGGGTAACAGAGCACTGGAACAGGCTGCCCAGAGGCATTGTGGAGCCTTCTTCTCTGGAGACATTCAAAACCCACTTGGATGCATTCCTGTCCAACCTGCTCTAGCTGAACCTGCTTTGGCAGGGGGGTTGGACTGGATGATTTCTGATCCCCTTCCAGCCCTGACCATTCTGTGATTCTGTGATATAGGAAGAATGTCCAAAATGCACATTGAGGAAGTCCTTAGGATCGTGAACTGTGGTTATTGAATGCCAAAGGCAAGAAATGTAAGACAGCCAGGGAGGGAGAGGACAGCACTATATTTTCTCCTGTCATTCCCTCTGTCAGATGTATCAGGTAAAAAGCAAATGGCATCAATCACTTTTAGAGTTATACAAGACTTCAAAAAATGAAATTAAATGAGCATTTTCATTTGATGAAAAGAGCGTGCATATTAAGCAATCATAATGTTTTGGTCTGCCAGTTATTTATGATCCTATTGGTGCCGTTTTAGGAGAAGCAGAGGCACATCCTTCTCCCAAAAGGTTTTGAAACACAAAGACCAAATCCTGCTTAGTGAATTCTCCAGAAAAGGGCACATAGACAATTGAGAATGAAAAGATACATTATAAAAGACTTCCAACTTAAAATCAAAAAAGTTGAAGCAGAACCTCAACTCTTGATTGAAAAATACTGGAGTCGAGCAGAAAATTTAGTAAGTCATAAATATCTTAAGCAGAAACAGTTCAAGCTAACCTCAACAAAATGTCAGAGATGATGTAAGAAAGTCAAAGAAGATGACATGTTAGTAATTATGAGACAAAATGACACAGTTCTGAACAGGGCCTTTCATTGTGTTGGCAGTAGATAAAGGTCAACACATAGAAGAATAATCATGACATGGTGGTATTGGAAAAAGCATTACAGATGGTAGCAATAAAATGAAGAAATTTACTTATTGAGTAGCATGGTGTGACCACACTTCCTACTTGTTCATTTATTGGGGGGGGAGGGGGGGGCATATAATGTACCCTAAAAATGCAAGATGCACAGTAAAACATTATTCTGACAAGAAATAAATACTGTCTAACACTGTTAATGCTGCTTGTACATTTGCAAATTCATTGCGCAAGTCAGAAAGGGAAAAGTCCTTTCTTCCTTTGCCATTGCAGAGATCATGTTTCTTGAGAGCTTGTCTTGGAAATTAACAAAGTTCAGCTCTGGTCATAGCATCTAAGCAGACACTTCTGTTGTTTCGTGTGACTAGAAATCCACATATTGCAGCTAGTGCTGAAAAATCCTCTTCTGAGTTTATATGATGAAATCCTTGCTGATTTATCTTCATTCCTGGTTTTTAGGGTGATCCTGGTGAGGGATTGCCAGGACCCCCTGGACCACCAGGACCTGCAGGACCATCTGCTCCTTCCAGAGGATTTGTGAGTATTGGGGGTTCTCTGTCAATGAGCTTGGCTTGCCATACAGGAATACAGAACTAAATAGGAGGTTTTCTCTGAGGAAGTAGACTGACTGCCACAGAAATAATCATGTTTTCTAAAACACTCATGCAGAAATGCAAATAAGTGTCTGGCGAAAGTGTGCGAGTACTGTAATCCACATAAACACCCAGTATTCACATTTTAAAAAGCCAGTCGATGTGTGTAGTCTCCTGTGCAAAAGCAATAATATATGGGAGAACAAGAGACAAAAATTTCCTCAAAAAGGCATTCTAAACCTGAATTATTCATTTCTTCCCCTACTGAACACAGAAATGATTTGACAGTCACTTACGTTTGCTGTCATTAAATACTGTAACACATACCAGAGTGGTGACAAGTGTTCATATTTTGAATACTCAGTACTCAGGCAATGTTAAAGAATATGTTTCAGACACATCTCTCTTCTGTAATGGGACCTTTCCCACTGTTTTCATGAGGATACATGTGTATGCAGCTGAAGAAGGATTCTGGCCTGAATTTTCAGTTCAAGGTGTGGGAGCTGATTTTACACATAGATACAACTCACCACTGACGCCAGTGGAAGTCCTGTGGTGGACTTTTAAACAAAACTATCACTGAGTATTGTGAGTATTTAACAAGATAGTTTGCAACATATTCCAGTGACCAAAATGGATTATATGCTCCCCTGATCTAGGGTGTGCTAAATTATACCAGTCTGTTTCTGTAGCATAAAAATAGAGTAACGGGGTCATGAAGGACTGCACTATTTAGCCTCCATTGATGCTGACTTCAAAAGACCAGCAAGGCAGCTCCAGATCACTAGGACAAGGTGGTCCAGTCCAACAGCATTTCTCACCCAAAGGTCATGTCTCTAAATGTAGCAGTGAGCACCAGGTCCTGCATCGTCTTTACTTTCTTGTTGTCTGTCATAGCAAGTTTCAAGGCCTTTTACTCTGCAGTGAAGTGAAAGAAGTCTCAGTGCAGCCAGGGAATGCATCCCTGGTTCCTGGGCTTTTGAAACATTACCTTTGGTACCATTGTAACTGATTCAGGTACTAGTTTTTTGCGTACTTTGGGCTGTAGTTTACAAATCACACATAGCTATGAAACTCCTCAAGGACTTGCAATGGGAATCTGTACTTAATTTACTTTTATACAAGTTGACATTATTTCATTTTAAATATAGTGGAACTCACACATGTAAAAAAGTCATATTTCAACTGCCAAGTTTGTTTGTTGCATATCTTGGTTTATTACTTTTAATTTTTAAAATTATGAGTTCTATAAAATTTTCATAGCAAGTTCTATAATTTAAAAAAAAAAAAAACTGGATAAGTGTACTTCATTTGCCTTTGCTATATATAATATGCAGAAAAATCATGGCAAACTTTCCACAAAAATACTTTTTTTTTCTTTAGAGGCTTAAAAAGATTCTTTGACAATATGTATACTGACTGTAATTTGCACTGTAGGTTCATAGGAAGATGGTTTGAAGTGAAGAAGCTTGAATCTATTAAATTGTCTTATAGATGAGTAAAATAGATTACAATACTAAAACCAAACTGTTTTTCTAACAAAATATATTTGAAAATGTCTTAGTATATTAATTTCCCTTTATATAATGTCTCTTTGGATTCCAGTTGTAGGAATCTCAGAATTTGGCTTTTTAACTAAGAGGCGTATTCTTGGACACAGTGGCTAGTATTTAGGTATGCATTTTAGGATATTCTTAATGTTGACAGGTATCTTTCCAAAGTTAAAATTTGTCTGAGATATTGCTTCATCTTCAGTTCACTTAAACAATCGCACAGTATGCGTGTCCTGCCAGGTTGTTATCACTGTACTCATAGAGCATCTGCACATAGATATAGAGCTGAGTGTCTACAAAATAGATGCTATGAAACACCAATAACATGACTTAATTTTTTTTGTTGTATTACAATTGATTTCACCAGTGACAGTCTGCTGCAAGGATATTGACAATAACTGTATTTGCAGTAACTGGCAAGCGATACTTTCATTTGTCATCTTTAGAAACAATATTTTAAAATGGAATTCTCCTGATTTCAGAATAGACTGGAACCTGAAGAATCGGGTTCTGGACATATTGACAGAGAGACTGAGATTTTAAGGGTGAGTATATAATGATACTTATTTCTCATTAAAGACCGTAGAAGGTCCATTTTCATTGACAGTGGTACAATTTCACAATGCAAATTTTGTACAAGTTTAATTCACTGCACCCAGAAATGCTTTGGAGGGAACACTGGGGGTTTCATTTCAAGATCTAAAAAAGGCCTTAGTGTATGTGAGTGAAGAAGAAGTGTGAGAAAGAAAGAGGACAACAAAGAAGTAACGGCAAGAGGACTTTTTAAAATGACAAAATGCTTTTAATCTGATTCTGAGAAGACAGTAGAGATGAAAGAGATGGGAATGATACTATTCTTTGTGGTTTGTTTGGTGTTTTTTTTTTAATTTGGAGTACCTTCTCTAAAAAATAAGTGTGTCTATATGAAATACTTTACACTGCAACTTCTACTGTTGATCCATTTTGATGGTCTTTTGAACTTCCCCATATCTTTGCCTTTGTGAATAATTGTAACACTGTCGTATCATGCCTGGCTAGGAGACAGGGATGCTTTGGCTTAGTGAAAGTTAATAACACTTTGATGCATGTGTTCCTGACATTCTCTGGGCTGTGTAACATGGGAGACCAGACTTCTGTATTCATGCCAGGTAAACCTGAGTCTTGAGCTATTAACTCACACTTGGCCATTGGTTAAACTTGGGATAGTCAAAGCGGTTGCTGTCTTAGATGTTCACCTCATCCTTCTCCTGGAGGTGTCTGTCTCAGCTTCAGAAAGAGCTTATATGGCTTCTGAATCTACTAAACTACTTAATTTTGCAGACATAATATTCAGGAAAGTCAGCATCAATTTCAGTTCGATTCAATAGGCTGTGCTGTGAAATGCAGCTGACTCGTGAGCTTTCAGCTGTGCTCGGGAGCAGCAGGCTGCAGGAACAGAGCAGAACAAGTGGGATAATGAGTATTGGTTTAACATTTTAGCTTAGTCTGTCACTCTTAGCGTTATGTGTCAACAGCCTCAAGCAAGCTTTGTTTTAGAGACTGAATTGGTGCATTGGTCTTGTGCTTTCCCTTCACAGAGACTTGATATATTTTGAGACAGTACTCAGATGAGCATGGCTCTGGATTAAAAATGGGATGTCTGGCTTGTTTGTCTTGCTCTGCTTCTGAGTTGTTGAGTGGCAAAGGAAACATTTGGAGTGGGGATGTTTTTCTATTTATTTTTTGCTGGACTATTTTTTTCAGAGGAGAGGCTATCTTTCCTATACATCCTGCACATAACAATGTGCCATGTATGGGAAAAATAACATCAATTAAATAGAACTTGCTGCCAGATCTGGAATTATTTTGTGTTTTCTTTTTTTCTTGAGCCACTTCTTCACCCATTGTCTCTAGACAATCAGCCAGATCTCCTTTTACCATGTTCCTGTTGAAAATCCAAGTAGCAAATCTTTAAAATAGGTATTATAGTTGAAAATAATGCGGTTTTCATTCTGCAGAACCAGTCAGATATATAACGAATCAGGTGATACATTACAGTTAAGAACAAATGTTAGGAAAATGAGAAGTCAAGTGGCTGAAGATGAAGAGACTGCTTGGTCCATCTAGATGGAATGAGAGATAATCTTTGATGCAGTCTTTGGGATGGAGCATTTCCATTCTTCAATTAGAAGCTGTTTCATCAATAATACTGCAGCTCTCTGAGGAATGATCTCCTGGGATGCCTGTCTCCTATGAACTCCAGAGTCCTATAGCATTCTGAGGCCTCTGTTTTGCAACACATCTGCTGATATTTTCTATTCTCTCAGACTCATTTCTTCTTCAAGACTTCTCTTCTGTTTCTTTTTTCCTCCAAAGTGCGGAATACCTTATTCGCAAGGTTCTTCAGGAGGGAATTGGCATGTGCCAATTAAAATTAGTTATCTTGCCTAGTTTAGGTGCCCCTAAGATAGACTCTTTAGATGCCCTATGATGTTAACGAGACAGGTGAGTGCTTGGCATAGCTCCCCACAGAAGGTTCTGTTGACTGTACTGAAAATCCAAGATGACCATCTTCCTAACAGAACCCTGTAGATGACCCTAAGTCAGAATTAAAGAGTTCTTGCCTTACAGTGGCATGCTCCAAAATTTCAAACTGTCCATGTTTGCCTGATAATGCAATCAATAACAAGGATGGACTTGCACATGAGAGAGAATATTTGCAAATGTACTATTTCTCCGCAAGTAACATATTTCAATCATTTTACTCAATTTAAATAGATCTGCTCATGTCCACGCAGGATAGATCTTTGGAGCAGAGGCCATTTTTATAGCACTGAGCTGTAGCACTAAGACAGTCAGGTCTTGACGATGAGTACAAATTCTCAGAGCTCCAGCAACACCATGGAGAAAACCTTTGCAATGAGTAGAGAAAAAACTAACCACTTCCCTCTGTTCAGTGATTACTTGATTTCATTATGGTTAAATTTCTTAACATTAGGTTCATCATTGGAATATCTCTAAGGTCTTTACTGGGCTACAGAGAGCTGATACAGAATTTTTTGGGTTTTAATTTCCTGCTTGCTGTTGCGTGCCATGAGCTGACACAATTCAGAGGGCGAGGATGGAGGAGGTCAGTGTGACCCTATGTAAGGAGTGTATCTGTGAAACTAAAATTGGTTCTAAAGGAAGCAGAAGGGGGATGGTAACCCAAGCTGAGAGTTTTATGAGCCTGAACAGTCTGTGTGAGCTTTTTCTGTTCCGTGCGTATACAAATGTACCTGGCTAGGGCCATTTCTAACAATTCTGCTGATTTATCCAGGGTCTTCCTGGGCCACCAGGCCCTCCAGGACTACCTGGTCTTCCAGGAAAGCCAGCACCCAATTCAGGTGTAGGACCTCCGGGGTCACCAGGGGAAGATGGAGCTTCTGGTGAACCAGGCCCTGAAGTGAGTACTCTTTTGTGCACAAACATTAATGTTGTTACTGTCCTACAACACTAAGTTCTAAGACTTACAGTCTGTATTATTCTTAATAATATTGTGGAATATTTTTAACTGAAGAATTTGGATCTTATGCACATTTTTTACAAGAAAAAAAAAAGAACAACAAAATAAATGTCTAGTTAACCAAAGCACGTTACACCACAGCAGGATGTACATTTGGCAGACAGACACTGGTGAATCTGTACCAGAATAAATAAGAAGTATTTTTTTATAGAAGGATGTTTTTACTAATACTGAATAAAGCTAAGGATTATTCTTCCTGTGGTGTTTTCAGGACGATGAAGTTTTCCAAATCACTTACGTAATCTGCAGAGATTTTTTAACATAAATTGAATTTTCCTCTTTCAGGAACTGTCTTCCTTCTTTTTCTACAGCTACATAGAAATACTTATTCCTGTGGACGTGTGAAATACAGTTCTGCTGTAAAAAAGGTTCAAGTGTGACTTACTTGTTAACAAATCCTCAGTAAAGTGTTTTTCATTAAGGAATTTTTTTTTAGCATTGGTCAGCTCTGTGAATCCTCTCTGGAACTATATTTACTAATATAGTTCCTGTATTTCCTATAAACCATCTACCAGTAGCAGCTGTTCTCAGGACTAGATTTGATCTATAAGTTCACATTACCTTCAAAGTGGGTCACCATTGCTATCTCTGACAAGGTGTAATTAACATCTATTAAAGAAGTGTATTGGTGACACATGTTAAAGAGGAGATCTCACTGCATCTCAGCTGTGCTGGGTTTTTTTGAGGATAATCAAGTTGGGAGTTAATAGAAAATCTAAAAAAGTGGGTACAGAAAACTTTAATTGTCTGGCCATCGAGGTGGAAGGCAGCATCCTTTGTGCAGAGAGGAAACACCTGAAAATCTTTAAAATGGGATCCAAGAAGTGTGTGCATGGGAAGCCAATGAAAACCGAGAGCTGAGGATATATGTACCCTGAATTAGCCAGTAGGGAACACTGAGAAGAGCCTGAGTTGTATATATTACAGCTCACTTATATCTGCAAGGAGATACCTCTATCCAATACTTCAGAGCCCTATCCTGAAAACTAGTCCTTTTCTGTCAGAAGCTGGGTCTCATCCGCTCAGGCTACAAGAAAGTGTGAGCATCACAAACTTTTGTTCATCCAAGCTTTAGGTCCTTGCAAGATGGACTGTCCACTCAACACAGATCAGAAATCAGGGTAATTTTTGGACTTCAAAGTTTCAGAGTGTTAACTCTTGGAGTAAGTTGTATCCCTATGAACCTTACTAAATGAAAGCTGTGATAAACAGAGTGCAGAAGATGTAGCTGTACGTGGACTACTGTTTTGTTGAGTTACACGCAGTTTCAGCATTTGCTGCACTCAAGTGCTTTGGCTGTGTTTTGAGTATTTGCTTGCTTATTAACTGAAATGTCCTATTGTTTTACAATTTTGCAGGTGACTGATAAGGCAGTTAGTGATTCTGGCCTGGTAATGAGATGTTTGACTGGGTGAAATAATCTGGTCCCACAGAAGTAGGCTCAAGAAGTAGCATTTGTCATCCAGGCTTTTCTGACATGTTTCAGCAAAGCCTCCTCTGTGTATGCAAAGGAGCTTTGACAATCAGGTTACACCATAATTACCAGTTCTAGTCCAGATCCTTAGAAATGTGTCATTGACTTAAATTTGAAAATAAATACCAAACATTTATTGAATTAGTGTATTCTGAACATTGTGCTTTCTTCTGTTATTCTTTGCTTTCTAGAAATTATCAATGGATTTTTCAATGGTTTTATACAATAACTGCGGTAAGGTTGTGTTCTGCATTCTCAGTGGTTTGTTCTCAGTGCTATTTACAGAGTTAGCCTCTGATCCAAGAACAAGGTGCACTCAGGACACGTTTGTCCTGCAGTTACAGTAGCATAGGTTCTTGTAGACTCCAGGTAATCATGGAAGTAGTCAACAGTGCTCATGCAGCAGCATAGAGCTCAGAGCCTGCCAGCCACAAAATCAACAAGGCTGCCCTGCATTGAACTTTGTGCTGCTACAACAACAATGACAACCTGCAAAGGCTAGTTTAATGCACTGCTGACACATCCTGCAAGGATGCTCCACGTGCCTGGAGTTCCCGTGGTTTCCACCTCATTAAACCTGTCTAAGCTGTAGGACCTCTGTGTCTTCTGTGTTTTGGATTGGTTTGTCATATCCTGATAGCATAAAAGGATAGGTCTGCAGTGCCTTTCCGCCTACATCCTTCTATAGCATGGTTTCCGTGGAAGAAAATCCCAATGAATGGGAAGGAAACAAGTGTCTTGTATAGAAGGTATAGGGAGCAGGACAAAAGGATGTATTGAGAGTGCACTTGCTCCACTAGTTGTTAGGAAACTTGGTATTAACAACCTAAAGCCTATAATAGCAGGAAACTATTTTTCAATTTTTTCTATTCTTAATTAGTCTAATTAAGGAATTAAGGCCTGAAGAGCCCATGGTTTAACTGAAAAGAGCTGTAGGTGGACCATCAGCAGCTCTCCAGTGTCCTGCACAGTGGCCATACTCCCAGCATGCCTCCCTCCTGATCTGCTTATCCTGCCATACACATCCTCATCAGTCCTTCCTGGATGTTTTCTGCATTGATTGCAAAAGAGGAAAATTTTGATGGCCCAGGCCATCAAACTCCTTTACAATATGTCAAGCCCTCCCTCCCTGGCAGAGATAGAAGGAGACGAAGAACTCATCCATGAACACAGACCAGACCAGCACTGCATAGGTTACTGTATTTATCACAGTTCTTGACTCCAGGACAGAGCTCGCTTACTTGTTTTATTTATTTGTTTCTTCATTGTGAGGTTATTATTTCCCTAAAATCGTAAGCTTGGCTGAGATTTCACGAGATCAGTGTCATGAGATTGAGTCCTTTTAATCTGCTTTTTGGATTGTGAAATTTGCTATCTCTGACAAACACATTTTCCTGTCTGTGGGTGTGTTTGTTTGTAACTAAAAAGGCTGGAAACTTGTTACTTCAGTTGAAAGCTGAGATTCTTACTTGACTGCGGGGAGGGTATCCAATGTTGCTAGACTTCCGGTAATGTTTCAAGACTACAACATTTTTGGAGAGTAATAACAAACTTGTTGAAGTGGGTTTTTTTTAAGACATGACATATATCTTTTGCAGTAAGTGCTATGAATACTTCAGACTAAGAGAATGGCAAGTGCTAAAGACCATGGCACTGAAGTGATTTAGGCATGTTCTTCATTGTAACTTTTTTCTTACTTTAAGCATGAACAGAAGTCCTTCTAGAATATAACCAGGAAAAAGGCATAGCTTTATTACATAAATGAATTGCCTGGCCAGCCTTTCCTTGTTTTCAATTAATTAATTACCTTACTTTGGATTTTAATTGTTTGAAGGTAAGCTATTTCTAGCCATATCTAGTCACTGAATGACTGGCTTAAACCTAAAAAAAAAATCACGTCCTCTGGGAGATAGGAAAGTATCAAGTGTTTAAAAAAGTCCTGCAGAGACCTGTAATGAAAATACCTATTTTTGACAACATTTCTCAGAACCACAGTATCCTCAAAGAAATCCATTGGAAAGTCTTGAAAAAAGACAGTTACCCTAACGCTTTATTTGCCGCATTTGACACAGTGCAGTGTTAGATTAAAAGGCATATAATAGCATCTTTTCTATTCAAAATGTACTTTCAACATCCTGACTGTGGTTGTTTCTATATCTGTAGAAGATAAAGTAACTAGAATGGTGTGGGACATTTTGTTAAAATTTATCATAAATTAGCAATGTAAACAGAATTCAAAGAAAATGGAGAAATATTTATTGATTCAACTTCTGTTTTAAAGATGTGTTCCCTGTTGTGCAATCTAGGATTTCACAGGCTATAATATTAAGTACTTGTAGCCAGTCATTTTTCTGATGCAACAGAAATCATTATTGTCCACTTTCAGGATAATTCCTGGGAAACATATCAATTAAAGAAGTAGAAGTTAAATGTTAACCAGAGTATCAAAGTACATTTTCAGAAGAATCAGACCATGACAAGTCTGCAGGCTGCTGAAGGAAAACTCCAGCCATTAACAGTACAGACCCATGCATTCCCACACTTTCAGATGACCTAAGAAACTGTAACCCTCCAAAGATTTATACGCTCTGGATAAATGAAGTGAGAGCTATTGAGAGCAGAAACTTTTGGATGGGAATCCTCGTTCAGTAACACATTGAAATAGTTGTGCAATTAAAGGTCTTTGGTTGGGAATCCTAATTTCAGAAGACTAGCCAACTTGAAGTTGCGTGCAGGCTTAAGTCCTTGCTAATTCAAGAGCTTTGTGATGTAATAGCTCTTCTTTGGAAATATTTGTGTAAAGGCTGCCTTCTGTAGCAGGAAATACCACTTCACTAACTGCTCCACATTGAATCTAATACTGATGTGATATTGATCTGGTTAAATACATATTTTTAAATTGCCTCAAGGCATTGTGTAAGGATATTTTCTATGGTTCTTTTTTTAGAGTAGCTCACAAATACACGACACCCTGAAGCGAATAACAAATCAAGTGTTGCTTGCTAGCTGCACAAAGAGAGACTATTCAAAAGCTGTGAAGGAAATAAGCAATTTTAGAGCAATGACACTTAAAATTACTAAGCAGTATAAGGGAAATAGTCACTAAAGTTTAAAACAATTATTGTTGTTAGCCCAGCCTCTTTTCTAATCCTCCTCTGTCTATGTAATCACAGCAAAATACAATATGAAAATCTTTGAAACATACTGAAAATATTTCTGATCTTTTTAATATTAAAAAGAATCAATTAGTTATTCTATGACATACATCCAAAGGGCAAAAACAGGAGGAAAAAGTAAGGAGAGCAGGGAAAATGAGGCCTTTGTGACCATTCTGAAAACATCAGAGAAAAAGGATGTTTTTTGTCTCCTTCTACAATCATTTATATCCTTTCCCAAAACAGATGAATAAATAAATGGATGAAAGGTTCTCAGAGGGCAGAATGCACACCTGTAAATTTAATTAAAGGCCTAATTTTAAAAACATAGGGCATGCAAATATGTGTGTAACTGTTCCCTTTCTTGCATGTATAGTTGCTGTGGGCTGGACTTCAATACCTGTACTGATTGACTGGTTGACCCTACAAAGCCAGTTTTTCCCAGCCTGGCTGCTCACTCAAATCTGTGCTAAATCATGGATGCAACACAGGAAATTGGCAAACTGGAAGTGAGGCATCACCCAGAAAACCTGGGCCACTTTCTGACTTTGTCAATACCAACATATTCTCAGCTAGCTCTCATCTGACACTAAGATTGCCAAGTGTCAATGGCTGAATTGCATGGGAATTTCAATCCCACTACATCTGTAGTAGTGTTGTCAAAACCTGCTTGGATAGCACCATTATTTTGCACGCTGACATTATATTTACATTATGTTTGTTTGTTACTTTTTATTATTTTGTGATTGTTTGATATAGTTTTCTATTAAAATATATTTAAATAGTTTTGATACAAAGTAAAGCCCTCAGAAGACAAGAAATACAAATGTTGGAACTTAATGGTGTGAAGTGCTACTTGGTGGTACACGTTAGTCTTTCACAATGCTGTATCATCAGTTGGTCCAAAATACTTACATGCATATGCTAGGAAAAGGACTCTCAAGTGGTATCTGCTTTAGATTTACTATTATCTACAGGGTCCTCAAGGTCCTCCTGGTCTTGATGGAGTGGCTGGCCCACCAGGACAGAAGGGAGAAAAGGTAAGTTAAACATCTGTCTTGCTTCTGCTTCAGTGGAATATATTTGTCAGTGCTAGGCTGTAAAAATCATGCATGGTTGTCCCTGCAACACAGTGTTGGCTAGCTTCAGTATTCTTTTAATTGAATCCAGCTGCTAATGGCTTATTAGAACACATCCCAGAAGGCGTATTCAGAAATCCAGAATTCCCTGCTGGGTACAGTCTCCTTTTCTGCAGCATGCAATATTCAAAATGCAATATGAGCTACTTTGTTGTGATTTGCCAGTAAAAAAAAACAGTCATGATTGGACTCATGCTGGTGTGTCTGTAGGGGAAAATAAAGTACTCCAGCTAGTCCAGACTGGCACAGACTGACAGCATGTTCCCTGCAGGAAGTGCCCTCTGTGGCACGTGTGTATACCAGGGCAAATGGAATTACTTGTTTGGATTCTGTGGACCACTGGCACATCAAGTTTTGTACACTTCTGCAGCAGCCCGTATTTGTCTTAACTGCTGACTACTGCACTGTGCTGCCCACAGCTACCATATCCCACCCCCACATTTGTGGCAGCTCCACCCTTCGCTCACCCCTTGATGGGACATTTCAGCATCCTAACGTGGCTGTAAAGGGTTACTTAGTTTTCTGTTGCCTTGCTGCACTGGTTGGCTTCATGCATGATCAGATAAGCACTATGGCTAGCAAAAGGGGAGGAGTGGGGAACAGGTAAATGAAAGTAAGAAATCATAGCATCCAGCAGCCAGATTTTCTTGTGTTGCTATAGAACCAAAAACTACATGTTGCAAAATTGCCACTCTTTTTAAGTTTCCCCAAATTACTGCATACATTTTTTTTTTGCACCCCACTTCCAAGAGATGGTGCAGCAGAGAGCTATGGAGGTGGCCAGGGGCCTTGAGTACGTGACCAATGAGGAGAGGCTGAAGGAGCTCAAAGCATTTAATCTGGCAAAAAGGAGACAAAGGCATGGCCAACAGATCTAAAGATATCATCATAACCCTTTAATGAGGGCCGGTGAGCTTTCTGCACCCCACTTCAAGAAGGATGTGGAGAAGACAGACAAAGACTACAGGAAAATTTCATCCTCCAGTGAGCTTCTACACCACACTTCATGCACAAGAACTTGGAATTAGATTCCCAAGTGTACATTGAAAGCTCACACACTGTAAGGGAAATGAAAAGACAAGTCCTAAATGGCCAGAATATTTTTATTTATTTATTTATTTTTAAAATCACAAGATTATTTTTTTTAAATCTCCTCTGGAGACTGAAGAATCTGAGTTGTGATTACAAAAGCCTGAGGTTGGTAAAGCAACGGATACATGGGAACTAGCAGTGGTCCAGAAAATGCAGTATGTATGTTACAAAGCAGGCATCCAAAACTTGCGTCCATTGTAATCAGTGTTTTAATTCATGTGTTTTGCATGAAGGAGTCTAAGAATAGAAAGAACTCTAGCTGAAATAAACTGAACCTGAATCGCATATTATAGGAAGAGACTGGTGTGGAAAGGAAAGTAATTGGAAGAAAAATTAAATTTTCAAAAAGGGCAAAATCCTCAAAAAACAGGACAAAAACTCAAATGTTTTGTTCCACTGGGCCTGTTTTCTGCATCATGTATATGTGATAAAAGTTTAATTAGAAATGAGCACTACATATTTGCACCTGCTCAATACAATCCCCAGCATCTTGGTATAATAGAATTTTTTCCTATTCATTTTTTCTGAAAACCTTGATTTAATTGCAATATCTATTTTTTAATCATTATTCCTGATTAATCCAGAGAAGATTACAGGGAGAAACTGCAGGATTTACTGAAAGTAAAGTCAATGTGTTCCTTGGGGTGAAGTTTAATGTGTTTTTTTTGCTATTGCATTTGGAAGAAAATCTTGTTATCATTTTACTCCTGGAGCGTACTCATTTTTTTCAGACTTACTCAAGTAATATTTCTGTTGAGTGACAGGAGCTTGCCAAGATAACAATTAATTCCATTAGATTCAGTGCAATTTGGAAAAGAAGTATTTGCATGCTATGGCTTTCTGTCTATTCTATGAGCTAGAAGTGGAAAAAAACAGTATCTAAGTAAAGTGCATAAAAGCAAATCAAACATCTTGATTGCTGCAAAGAAGCCTTAAAATCATACTAGTCATCATATCCCTTGTTTGGAACGGTGGCCTAGACAACTTGTGTGGGATCAGTTTCTGCTTCTGTTATATGCCGTGAGGGTTTTGACATTTAAGTTCAGAAACATGAAGATGTGACCCACAATGCTTAATTATGTATGTTCCAGACGTTTAAAATCTGCAGCAATAATTGAAATACAAGATTGCATCCTGTCTGCATACCAGACCAGAGCTATTCATTTGTGATTATAACTCCTGAATTACAGGTTGTTTTCTTTTTAACTAAGAGGTCCAATGTTTCACGTAAAGGACATTATGACATCAAATTAAATAACATAGAAATCTGTGGGTATTTTAATTAAGCAAAAATATCATAAATGTGATTTTGTTGCCTGTCTAATGCTCTTAGTGTAAGTAATTAGGATTGCTTTTCTTTTACAGGGTGCTCAAGGTCTGCCTGGGTCTGTTGGTCCAAAGGTAAAAAAAAAAAAAAAAAAAAAAAAGTGTCTTTATAGGATAACAGTATCATTCTAATACGGCATGATACTAAAAGGGCTGAGAAGTCTAAAAGATTACTATTGTGAAACCTAAAGAAGTCGTCAAACTTGACTTCCCAGTTGGCCAAAGTACTTCTCTAAGAAGTGTGGCCAGGAGGTCAAAGGAGGTGATTCTTCCCTCTACTTGGATCTCATGAGACCCAACCTGGAGTACTGCATCCAGCTTTCAGAGCCCCAGCTTAAGAAAGACTTGGACCTGCTTGAGCAGGTCTAGAGAAGGGCCATGAAGATGATCAGGGGATGACCCCTCCAGGAAGGGTTCAAGGCCAGGTTGGACGGGACTTTGAGTGACATTGTCTATGGGAAGGTGCCCCTGCCCACAGCAGAGGGCTTGGAACTAGGTGATCTTTAAGGTCTCTTCTAACCCAAACCATTCTACGATTCTATGATTCTACTTACTTGCATCTACTTATGCATGTTCAGTACAGCAACAGACTGACCTTTTATTTTAGGGTGATACTGGAGTCACTGGATCAATAGGCCCCAAAGGAGAAGCTGGTGCTGTTGGGTCTCCTGGGAAAGCTGGACCACCAGGACCTCCTGGGCCCCCTGGGCCCCCTGGACCTCCTGGACCCCCAGGACTAAGCTACGGTTTGGGATTTGAGGTATTTTGCTGTTATGGAGTTTGTTGTAGCTATGGATCTACTTCTCTCAGAGGAGGGACAGGGTAATCACTGGTGTATTTCACAGCTATTTAAGGTTGAATTGATGACAGATAGAGCCATTTGCTCTAGACTGAAATTTGCCTAAGAGTAGCCTACAATTCCTTTTCATTTGACCATATGACTTGATCATGCTTAGGCCATGGAAGTAATGGATTTCTTTGGAAAATTTTCATGAAACTATTCAGTAGTAACAGTGTTCAGGTGCTATTTTTGATGCTTATATCATTGCTAATATAAAATACTCAAATACTGTACTACAAGAGAAAAGTTCTTTAGCACTTTTTTATGTAAATAATTTAGAGCAATGATTTAAATATACATAGAGACATGACAGTATTAATTAAAATCGAACTGCAGGTCCCCCTTAAGCTATGACTTTTCCCATGCTGTCATTCTTGAGGCCACAAGTTTACTTTGGGCATCTCACTTATGTAACATGTAAGTACAATGACAGTTGCTGGACATTTATGAGCTCATGGTCTGTTCTACTCATAAGAAAACTGTTCAATCTAATAAAAAAATGCAGATGCTACTCTTTCTACTCCTGAAAATAATACCTTCATCACTTTAAATTACGAGATGTGGATGAGTTTTACATGTTATCTGATAACTGCTCATTTATACAATCTTTTTGGAGCAGAAAGTGGCATCGTAGTACAGAAAGGTAAAGGGAGCACACTCAGGTTCAAGAACTAGAGGTGCTGCTTTAACATCTTTGTGGACAAATTGCTTGCATCAGTATTCACATAGGATCTTCCCTTTTTTTCTTTTTCCATGCATTTTTCATTTCTAATTTAGCTGTTTGGCCCAGGAAAGCCTTTCCAGAGTTTTCAGGTTTTTATGTCTTGGGACATTTTGCATAGAAACTGAGGGCAGTTTCATCAGAGAAGTAAGCAATGTTTGATCAAAACTGCTGACCATCTGTACAACTGCTGCAGTAAAGTGGTGGTGTTTAAAAGATACCAGTTTACTCACACATGTTTCTCATACTATCTACACTTCCCCTTTCTCTTTTCTTTACTCTAGAGACACTTTGAGTACTCCAGGTACAGAGCTGACCACTAATGCTTGTTTAGAGACGTATTCTAATTTTGGATGTCTGACTGAATAATATTGTACTATATACACTACTGGTTAATATACACTACTGGTCAACTTATGTCAGTGGATTTCAATGGATGAAAAAATCTCCACAGCAGTTCACAAGCTCTTAATTGCAAGAACTGCAATTGTTAGCAAAGAACAGCATAAAGTCTAAACATGCAAACACTCCATTGCATTAACTTAGGCTGGTACAGAGTCTCCCCTGAATAAATACGTACTTATCTCAGAATGAGGACTATTGGTAAACCACATCTTCATCCTAGACGTGGTCTAAGTTTTAGTCCGGGATGATGGCTTCTCTGACTTACAGTCATCTTCTGTGACCCTTGAGGATCCAGTGTTAAGAGGTTCTCCACTCTTCCCCATTCACACTATTTGAGTAGAAGACAGTGTTGCCTCATTATGCCACAAAGAGCTCCCCTGCAGGTAGGTACTTAGGACCAAACTCTGCCACTTGTGATACCTAAGTCTCGGAGGAGCAAAGTTAGCAGATGATGAGCAGGAGAGAGTGAAAACTGGAAGTCCCCACTTTTATGGACGCAATCACAAAAGTATCCCAGCTCTAACTTCAGCAACAATATCTTGACTGGCTTCGGTCTTGAACTTCATCTAGTCCAAACAGAATTGGCATGATTGTAATTTCCCTGAGAGGAATACTACTGTTAACAGGCTTGCTAGTTGTAGCTGATCTTTTGGATGCCCACACCCACCATCTGTTAAGGCAGCACCGTGGTCTGCCAGTTCGTTAGGGCGACACTACCTTTTGGCTGGCAGTCTGTTTATTGCTCTAAGGCTGTTTGTTTCTTCAAAACATTCCTGTTAGCACTTGTTAGCATCTGTGACCAGCTACGTGCAAAAACCAAATGGCGTGGGGTTTGCTGGCACTTATGCTTGTCAAAAGAACAGTTTGAGCTGCAGAAGGTACCTGGCAAACCCATCAAAAGCATGCCGATGTCAAAAACAATGGTGTGTTATATAAAGCAGGCATCAAGCACTTTCTTAAAGGGAAAAATGTATTGGCACAGTGGAGTCAAGGGAAAGAAGAAGAAACACAGCATGTGGTTTAATGCTAAGTTGCCAGTGTTTGGTCCAGTCCCATTCAATATATTCATCAATGACCTGGATGAAGAAGGGATAGAGTGTACCATCAGCAGGTTTGCTGATGACACAAAACTGGGAGGGGTGGCTGACACACCGGAAGGCTGTGCTGCCATTCAGCATGACCTGGACAGGCTGGAGAGTTGGGCAGAGAGAAACCTTATGAAATTCAGCAAAGGCAAGTGTAGGGTCCTGCATCTGGGGAGGAATAAACCAATGCATCAGTACAGGTTAGGGGCTGCTCCGCTGCAAAGCAGCTCTGTGGAAAGGGACCTGAAAGTCCTGGCGGACAACAGGATGACCATGAGCCAGCAATGTGCCTTGGTGGCCAAGAAGGCGAATGGCATCCTGGGGTGCATCAAGAAGCGTGTGGCCAGCAGGTAGAGGGAGGTTATCCTCCCCCTCTACTCTGCCCTGGTGAGGCTGCTTCTGGGGTATTGTATCCAGTTCTGGGCTCCCCAGTTCAGGAAGGACAGGGAACTGCTGGAGAGGGTCCAGCAAAGGGCTACAAAGATGATTAGGGGACTGGAACATCTTTCTTATAAGGAAAGGCTGATGGACTTGGATCTTTTCAGCCTAGAGAAAAGAAGACTGACGGGTGATCTTATCAATGCTTATAAATACTTAAAGGGAGGGTGCCAGGTAGATGGGAATGGTCTTTTTTTCAGTGGTGCCCTGTGATAGGACAAGAGGTAATGGGCACAAACTTGAGCACAGGAAGTTCCATCTTAACGTAAGGAGGAACTTCTTTACTTTGAGGGTGGCAGAGAACTGGAACAGGCTGCCCAGGGAGGTGGTGGAGTCTCCAACCCTGGAGACATTCAAAACCCACGTAGACGCCATCCTGTCCAACCTGCTGTAGGTGAACCTGCTGTGGCAGGGGCGTTGGACTAGATGATCTCCAGAGGTCCCTTCCAATCCCTGTCATTCTGTGATTCTGTGAAACAGGCCAAACAGAATATCAGCAGATTTCCTGTTGATCTTTGATACACTGACAGCTGATGGAAGAGCAAAATGAAAGTCTAAATAACATCCAGGTGAAGTTGCATGAAAGGACTTGGGCCAGCCTGATGACTTAATGTGTCCCACCTTGGTCCCCAAAAGGAAGGATATGATTCCAGCTGTGCACTCCTTCTGCTTCTTTTGTTCTTTGCTCTTGCGGAGTTGGTGGAAAAGGGCAAAAGAACGAGATCTCTCTTATTCACTGGAGTCAGAGCAGTTGATTTCTTGCCATTACTTCATCATTAGCCTGTCATTCCATAGCAACTTAAGCTGATCTAATTGGTCATCCACCCTTTCCCTTACGCCATCTCCAGAGTGTGTCAGACCTATGGTAATCTGAGCCATTTCAAGTCACTAACTAGCAGAAAGCTAAGTAGGCAAGGAGTATGGGTCCTCTAAACATGATAAACTCATACAAGGGCTTGTTGTCACTGAGAGGTGGAGATTCTGCTTTGCTCCTGCTCCTCCTCCCATCTGCAGCCATTCCTGGTACATGCCTGCCCTTCACATGCGTTAACATCCAGTCTTCCATTAGTCCTTCCACAAGCCAATTTAATTTACTAAAATTTTAAAGAACCATCCCACTCCCAAAACGTAATGTATTTTCTGCCATTTTAGTTATTTAAAGTGGCTCACAGGAAAGTGAGAGGATTCAACACATGGCACTGATTTTGAAAATGAAGGCTGTATGGCTGTGAGCAGGAAAGTGGAGTGAAGAAAGATCAAGATTTTCCTGTTTCAGAAAAAGGAAACAATTAAGCCAGCATAGCTGCATTTAAAACTGCAGCTAAAAGCAAGCAAACAGTTTCCTGCTAGCATGGTTCATCCAAATGGTTTAAAGCACAGTCTGACAAGTTCTAGGTTAAGCACAAGGCAAGGGATAGGAACATATAGCTGGGATGGTGCTGGGGGTAAAACAAATAATTATGGCAGCCTGCAATTTTTTTTCTTTGGCTGCTTTGGAACTGGCAGCTCCTGGTTCTGCCCTGGATTTGGAATGTCACAGTCAGAACAACGAGAGCTGGAAGGAGGTTGCTGCTTTCTTTGTAGTCTCCTCTCAAAGCCCTAGAAAATCTCCACAGGAAATACGGATGTTGCTCTCAAGGTCTTCCACTTCACAGAGATCTTCTGGAAGTCAGCAGAGGGCCACAACAATGGTCAGTGGGCTGGAGCACATCACCTGTGAGGAAAGACTCAGGGAACTGAGATTGCTTAGTCTGGAGAGGTCTTAAGCATTTTACCAGCCCTCTGATACCTAAAAGGAGTTTATTCAGAAGACACACAGCCAGGATCTTTCCAGTGGTGCACAGAGTCACGAGCAACAACAATGCTCACCACAAGGGATGGTTGATTGAAACAGGGGAGATTCTGACTTGATATAACTAAAATATTTTTCACCTTGACCACAGCCAAGCATTGCAACAGGTTCTTGGAGAGGCTGCAGAGCCTCCATCTCTAGAGAGTGCCAAGACTTCAGGGGACAAAGCCCTGAGCAACCTGATTTGAATTCAGTGTTGACACTGCTTTCAAGAGGAGGTTGGACTAGGTAGCCTCTAAGATTCCTCCCAACATAATTAATTCTACAATTTTGTGATAGAACATTTTTTTCTGCTCAATTTCATTTCAGTGAGCCATGTTTTAGGCAGGAGTTCAACATTCAACTTAGAATTATGAAGGACCTTTATTTTTGAATGATTGCTGCTCTTAGCACACTGCAAGTTCTCCCTGCCTTACAT